TCACAGGCTGTACTGGAGCCATTAACAATGGCTGACAGACACCTGGGTCATTCCCCACCCCTGGTTTAGTCAACAGACTCGAAGAATTTTCTAAAGGGTGTTTCTGGGCATCCCTAGCTCCTTGATTCAGGTGCAATGCACACCACTTCCTCTTCAGAACGAGGACTCATCTTTATCTACTTTGTGAGTGCTATGCTGGGTACCAAGTGATAATTCTCCTTTCTCCTAAAGAAATGAAAACCTTATCTTAAGAGGGGAACCAACTCCCTCCAGGTCTACTACGAAATTAAATTTTATGAGTTACTCAGCAGCCAGTGAGGCACAGAGTAAAGCCTGGTGTGAAGCTGACTTCCACAGTGGAGTATACAACTAAACTTGCTCAGGGAAGGGAGGAAAAAGAGTTAACAGAGGCAGAAGTCAGGCCTTGTATCCTTCGCCCGAGCCAGTTCCTTTCATATGCTAAGAGCAACTGGAGCCAGGGGGGGTGAGGGAATTGAACACTATCTTTAAAAAAATCTGCACCAAGGCTAAGGTGGCTCCCCCTGAGTCATGAGCCACCCAGGGTTACAAAGAATAAGGTGGGCCTGCTGAGCTGGGCTGTAATTACCCAACAATGACACGAAGAGATGCATCCTGTACCTTCCTGCAGGGCTTGGCACCGTAATTGCTACACTAGCATGCACGATTCTGCCCAGAAATTCCGGTAGGTGGACAGAGTCCGGCTTGGGTGTGACAGGGGTTGCTGCTCGGTGCCAACCGAGAACCACTAATAATGAGCTCTTCTGTTATCTGCCTGCAGGGTCTAACAACCAGAAGAGAGATCCAGGACATTTGCTCTGGGAGCTTTTTTGTTTTCTTCCAAAATTCCAATTTTGAGAAGTGGTGTGAGGCAAGATAGACAGATGAGGTGATGGGGGAATTAAAGTATAAATATTAAATGGGCCAGACTCCAAAGTTAAAACAGAACCAGGAAGTAAACACTGAATCACCAAATCTGCAAGCTCCCCTCCGTCACCTTCTCCTTGGAGAAGTTAAGTTCCAAGAACGGGGAACCATGCAGGGCTTTCTGCAGCTGCCTTCTCCTTCCAGAGGTTAAGAAGACACAAACTGTTTAGTGGGTGGAGAGGCAGAAGTCCAGGCGAGTCTGGCAAATGGAAGTCCTAAAACTCTCACCTATAGTCCCTGTGTCTGGGGTAAGCATAGACCACAACTCTTTGTTTTTGAATGATAACAAAACCCATCTCGCCATGTTTGAGGTAATAAGCCCACCTGGGACCCCAGCCGGTAATGAGTAGGAGTTGCTAGGTGACTTGACTAGGCGTCTAGTAGGAATTCAACACGATGAACCCCGATATACACAACGGGCACATTGGGAATCTTCCCTGCTCATTTACCAGATGAGAAGCACAAGACACGTCTGTCCATCTTCCATTTCTCCCAAGTTTAGCCCAAGTTACTGAAATAAATTCTGATGAGACTCTCCTTTGTGTGAGACTCCTCAAAATGCTTTTCACTGTGGATCTTAAGTTCCTGGGAACTGCATGGACTCTGGGAAGCTGAGGGACAAGAAGGCCCTTCCTCCCTTCCTTCTTCCGTCCCTTCCCTCCTCCCGTAACAGGTGCCTACAGAAAGAAACCAGACAGCTCATCCAACGTCTGGAATGTCAAAGTCGGGTAGCTGCATCCCAGCTACCCTACAAAAATGAATTTATGAGTGGAATGAGTGTGCTCGAAGTCTTTGCTGTCTTGTGGCTTATTAAATGCATATTCAAAAATGCTGGATTTTATAGACTGAAGAGGGCTCTTAAATTAAGAAAGTAGAGAACAAAGAATGAGCCCAGCTATTCCTCCATTTCCAGTAAATACTGAAGGAAAAAGAAAAAACAGGTCACATTTCAGCACTGGTTCCTAAAGGGTAGTCTCTAGACCAGTGACATCAATATTACCTGGGAACTTGCCAGAAAAACAAATGACCAGACACCACCCTCCAGCAACCCTAAGCCACCGGGGTATGTGCAGGGTATGTGCTTACGGCTGGGATGTTCTGCCCTAGAACCATGGCCCTTTGCCCTGGCTGCGGTTATCACCACCATCTCTATGCCCCCACCAGCCCCCAACAGTGAAATCAGACTCCTTAGGACCACGGTCTCCTCTCTCCTGCTTTTATAAGATTCACCAGGTGACATGAGTGTACGGTCAGCATTGAGAATCGCAATGAATTCGAACAAGTGACCTTCAGATTAGATACTTTTGGACTTAGGATTATCAGGTTGGTGCAGAGTGACCATGGTCCAGAATGAGCCCCATATATCAAAGAAGTTGTCTTCCTCCATGAGCTGGAGAGGTGGGTGTGAAGCTCATGAGAGAACCATTGGAATTTTGTCCTCAATTCCACGATGATAACTTTTAATAACTCATCTGGCAAAGACAATTGCTCACCCTGAGAGAGGGTAGAGCACGTCCCCACTCAGAGGCGAGTGACACCTCACCTCCCACACACCTCCGTCCAGATGCCACAATCCCCCAAGGGTTGCCCAGGGCCTCCTACTCTCTTCTGCACTTTGCAGTCTTGAGTACTGAGTGTGTGTGAGGCAGCGATGCCCTCTCACAGGTCTGACATCACCAAAGGTACAAAGATGACAGCCTGTGGGGGCAGGAGTGGAGGAAGAGGTCACTCCCCTGGTTGGGCAGAGCCCAGGCATTCTGTTGTACAAAGGAACTGTGAACTAGAGCCACCTTCCTACCCAAGTCAGGAGTATGACAATATCCCATTGCAACTGGGCTCCTCAAACTTGGGCACGCAGGCGTATCGCCAAGGATCTGTGATCTTTCCCGCAAACAGAGGGACCTGAGCACTCCTGAAATGCAGGAAGTATCAAGAATTGGCCTGTCAGCAGAGGTGACCCTTGTTAAGACGTTCCTGAGGGAATGGCGGCCCAACTCCCTGTGTCCCTGTACTGTGAGAGCCAAGGCTCCCTCCAAATCACAAGAAAGATCAAACGGCAAAGTCTGCAGAGCTGGCACGTTACTCAGCTAGAAAGATCATCGTCCTAAGATTCCCCGGGATGATCTCAAGTAGCCAGGCTCTGCCATGTTACCTTCTCTTTCCATGACCCAGGGGTGGGGACAGGAAGAAGAAGAGAAGGAAAACACCCTGCTTTGTACCCAAGCCTACAACATCCAGACTTTGTAGTCTGACCAACCTCAGCTTGGATGTTGACTCTGACCTTTCTGAGCTGGCTGGCATGAAGTATTAATTAGGTCTGTGAATCTCGGTGGGAATAAGAAGTCTTACCACCTGAGACCAAGGGGAGCAGAGAGAACGCACGGATTGCATTTTATAGAATGCCAAGAAAACAGCAAGTAAAGCTGTAGGGGTGATCATTAATTATTCACTCTTGAGCCCTAGCTGAAGCCTCATCCCCTTTGTGAAGGCTTCCCTGACAAAAATACTACACACGCATGCACACACGTGTACATGTGCCCCCCCCATAGGTGCACACGTGCATACATGTACACATGCACACACGCATGTGTAGCTTTGGCGTCCTTGCTAAGCCTCTAGATTTTAGTTATTCTGTTACAGGGTGACTATCCCCTCTCTAAAACACTTATGACCAGAAATGTTTCCAATTTTGGGTACTTTTGGATCTTAGAATATTTTCATATACATGAGGCGATTACTTGGGTCAGAGGCCCAAGTCTAACATGACATTCGTTTATTTTTCTCATGTATTTTATATCCACAGCGTGAGCGTAAATTGTATACAATATTTTTGGTAATTCTGTGCATGAATTTTTGGGGACAGGAATTTTCCACTTGTGGCATTAAGTTAGTGCTCGTGAAATTTTAGATTTTTGGAACATTTCTGAGTTGGGGTTTTCAGGTCAGGGACAGTGAACTTGCATTTGCAGCTGCTGACTTAACCATCGGTAAAGATTCTCTCTTAAAACAGATCGTGACTCTGTGTGCCCCGCGCCTAGCACAGGGTGCATCCTGCATCTCTCTGTGAATGAATGAACCAGCCAAGCCTCTGCGTTTACCAGCCATGAGATGAGGGGAATCTCAGCTAGGACGGTCAGAACAGAAAGGAAGAGACAGGAGAGAGACCCACGCAAAGAAGGTGAGAATCAGGATTGCCTCCGGGAAAGACCGCTCTGCAGTCTTCTGATTGCAGTCAGTCACAAAGCTCTGGAGAAGAGAGATGGCGGGGGAGGGCCATGCTTACACAAATACCTGGTAAAGAGGATGGGTCACTTGGTCTCCACAGCCTTCTGAAATCAGTCCCGTGTAGGGACGGCCTACCTGTGGATGTCCTCATGGATAGGCGAAGTCACCAAAGAGCTGTGTCAGACCCTTCTCTACTCTTCCAGTTCTCAGAAACTGCACCCGTGTCCACTCACTGCCTGTCCACCTGCCCACTTCTTCTTCTTCTCCATGGATCCTGCCTCCAGGAAGCCCTCCCGGCGCCAGGAAACCTTCCTCCTTGTCCTCGTCCCAGCCCTGACTCATTTTTCAACGATGAAGACAAATACACACCAGCTTCCCATTTACATCCCACTTACATTGTCCTCCATGCCCTCTCTCTGCAGCCTGGGCCACCAGCTCACTCAGGAAGAATGCAAACCACTTTGCCACTTGTGAGGGGGAAGTGAGGAAACAAAACCCGACTCATCAGCCCAGAAAGCAGGTGGGAGGTCTCTCACCTCACCGGCATGAGCCTCAAAGGGGGCTTGAGGACATAGACAAGGCAGCCAGAAAGGCTGCAAGGTGTCCCTGCCCACAGAAGGAGAAAGCCTGCCCCTGCCAGGACCCAGGCTGACAAATGCCACAGCCCTGGGGCTCCTGCCTATCCCCAGGCCACCTGTCACAGCCATGGTTTTAAGGCCGGCAAGTTGGCCAGAGGAGCAGGGGAGACCTTTGTCCTCAGACTTCAGCTGCTGTTCACAGCATCAGTGATTCACAGCTGAACGTCCCGTCTGGGTCTCCACGGCACTCACTGCGTCCTGAGAGCTGAGGACCTCCAGGATGCTACTCAGGAGCTCCACACAGTACTTCTTCTCCGGAAGCTGGTGCTGGCCCTCGTCCCTCGGCTCCAGCAGCTCCTTCAGCTCCTTGGTGATGACAGGAAGCAGGATGTCCCGGCACTCTGCAGTGACACAGCCAGGCATCCTCAGCCTCACATGTACGCAGCAGGGACATATGTGATCCCACGTAACTACTCATACTTATAATCACACAGTTATATAGTATGGTCTATGTATTTATAATCTATGATGATCATGGCTATTACATGCCTTCTAGAAGTGTATGTACTTTTTCATTAAATAACTCACAAATATATTCCCATGGTAAAAACACTAAAGATTAGACTTTAATATTTCTTTAGCCTATCATTCAAGTTATGTTCCCTCTCCTAACCACTCCCCAGAAGCGAGCAGTCATTTTATTCCATAGATAGATAGATAAATACACACACACACACACACACACACACACACACACAAGTATCAGCATGCAGAGTGGCTTGTGCCTATAATCCCAGCCACTCAAGAGGCAGATACTGGGAGGATCATGGTTTGAGGCCAGCATAGGCAAAGAGTTAGCGAGACCCCTTCTTAACAAATAAGCCAGATATGGTGGTCACAGCTGTAATCCCAGCTCCATGGAAGACATAGGTAGGAGGCTTGTGGTCCAAGGCCAGCCTCTGCCAAAACATAAGCCCCTATCTGAAAAATACTTAAGCAAAACACGCTAGGGGTGAGGCTCAAGAGCCCCCTCTCTAGTCCCGTTTCAGTTCGCTGAGAGTAAGGCATTTCGCGCCGTGTCTCTAAGCCTCTAAGACGTTTCATGTAGTTTTGCACGCACAGGAATCTGTGAACAAATGCTGTCGTTTTGTGTCCTTTTTACAAATGGGGACCAGGCTGCAAGCACTGCTCGACAACCTGATCCTTTCCACTCACAGGTATTTCTTGGGACACCTTTCCTGGTACCACACAGGGACTAAGGTAACCACGTGACGATGTTTACTGCATTCTCTCACTATGGACACCTTTCTTCTGTCTCTGTGACAAACAGTATAAGTGAATACCCTTCCACTTGCATCCTTGTGCACCCGGCTTTCACATAAAGTAAATTAAAACTCTCCCGGCGTTGCTCTTCAGGAATTTCTTGAAGGTTGTAAGCCCCACAGACTTGGCTCTACATTTCGCTTGAAAATAGAAAGCCTCATCAAGCAAATAAAAAAATCCAGCAGCGTTTCAAACATGCACGTCCAGAGGCTCCTTGGGCTGAGCTGTGAATCGTGTGAGCTAAGACATCATTTAAAGCCAGTCCCACCAATAGTGACGAACACCCTTTGATCTTTCAAGATGCCATGTTTCTGGAGGCACAGGGATGAGACGACATTCTTGCCCATCAGATACTTAAAAGTCTGACAAAGGCAATTAGCAGTGAAACAACCCATAGTGGCAGAAAGTGGAGTAAGATAAAAGTGGGAAGAGGTAGAAGACATCTCTCGTTCTGTGGCCCAACCTCCACACGCAGGCCTCCTGGCCCAGCTCTCTCATTGCACTCTGGAAAGCCATCCTGCCACGGGCTCCAGGCCCAGAGAGTCCTAGCTTCCTCGGGGCAGGGCTGGGCACTGGACCCCTGAAATCTGAATCTCGAGTTACCACTTATAATAGTAACAGGTGGCGCACAGCTTGGAGGTGGAGGGCCCAGTCTGACCTCAGAGCCTATGTACAGAGAGACTTGTCTCTCATCCGTGGTGGAGCTGGCTGTCATTCCAGAAGCACCTGGGGAGGCTGCCGGTGCTGCCTGCCATCCCCAGCCTCCCCTCCTTCTATGAATGGCTCCCGGTCTCCCGAATACATTTGCTTTTACTTAAATTCACCAGTCACCGGTGGAGTCACACAATACTGGAGGGCTCAGAAAGGGAGAAATGAGCTCTGGAAAGGTCATGGCAGCTAGGACAGGTGCAGATAGAACTGGGTTCTATCCCAGAGCCCCACTCTCAGTTTGTGATTAAATTCTAATCAGTGCAATTAACGTCTGTTCAGCCCACCAAAGGGCAGGCTCCATGAGAACGGGGCAAAAATTTCAGAGCTGAATACAGCAGGTGGATGTCAGTGTGGAACGAGACAGATGGGGCCGTGCTCTGCCCAAGGAACAATGGGGATTCGGAGCCACGGACCCAGGGTGAGTGGGATGTCCTCTTGGAGGTGAAATAACAAGAGAGAATGTTGCAAAGAAAAGTTCTTAAAGGCAATGGGAGCTGTCAGTCTACAGAAACAAAATTACAGACCGCAGACATTTAGATCTGGCTTAGCTTGCAGGTGAACTCACAGGTCACAGGTGTCACGGTCCTCTATTTGTTTACCTGTTCTGGTAAACTTAAGAACAAGCCAGATACAAGAAATTTGCACTTTAGAGACTGCTGACCTGAGGACTCAGGAGAGCACAAGACACTGGGTTAGCCATCGCCCTTGTTTAGAGACAAGAGGGTCACAGGAGAACATCATGGCCTAAGAAATACTAGATTTAATTCAGAGCTGCCCACCTCTTAGCATCAGAAGTTGAGCCTTGGTCCAGATCTGCTTATCCTAAAACATAAAGAAATCTCCCACACTGCATTCCTCAGAACCTTGTTGCAAGAATGTGTCTTTGAAAGGGATATTAACACAACCTTGGAACTGTCAGGCGAAATGCCCTGTCATATGAATGCTTGTCATACAAAAACTAGGTGAGGTCATTTGGAGTGGCAAATCCTTTGTTAGGAAATAAAAATGGGCTGGCAGAGTGGCTGAAGTGGTGGAGTGCCTGCCTAGCAAGCATGAGGCCCCTGAGTTCAAACCCCAGTACTGCCAAAAAAGATGAATAACCTCACCAGTTTTGGGGTACTTCACTGTCCTCACCAACTTAAAGACGCGCATAGCAAGGATTATAAAATCTTTCTCTTCAAGAAGTTAATTTTCAAGTAAAATTAGTAAGAGACTCTGACAAATGAGATTTAAAACACTACATTCTTGTTCTTTCCACAGTTCTCGGGGCAACAAGGGAGCTCCCCAAAATGACCTTCAAGAAGATTCATGTTGGTTGGGTGTGGTGACTCACACCTGTAATCCCAGTTACTAGAGAGATCAGAAGAATGCCAATTCAAGGCCAGCCTGGGCAAGAAGTTAGTAAGACCCCATGTCAACAAAATAGCTGGTGTGGTGGTGCACACTGGTCATCACAGCTACCAAGAGGCACAAAGTTGGAGGGTCATAGTCCAGACTGGCCACAGCAAAAAACCAGAAGACCATATCTGATAAATAACTACAATAAAAAAGGCTGGGGATATAGCTTAGGTGGTAGAGCACCTGGCTAGCAACTGTGAGACTGAGTTAAAACCCAGTTTAAAAAAAAAAGCAAGGTTCACACAGCTGTGGTGGACAGGGTGTCTGGAGGAGGACAATAGAAAAAGGCAGAGAGCCAGGAACGCCACTGCTGTGACCCCGGGCTGGCAATGAAAACAGTAGCTGGGACTCCCCTGCCACCCTCATTTCTGCTTCTGATATATTTGTCTCCTGTTGAAGCTGAAGACTTTGTAAGACCTCAAGGCAGGGGGCAGAAACAGATCAAGCGTGGTCAGGTGTCTTGGGTTTAGAGCCTAAGAAGGGGCAGGAAGTATAGCTCACTGTATTTGTACATGCTTAGCCTGCATCAGGCCCAGGTTCAATCCCCAGCACCGAAAAGAGACGACAATGTCTTAAGGAATAGAACAGCCCTTGGTGACTCAAACTAAAACCTCTCCTGTCTCCTGTAAAAAGACATTGCTGAGGCTACAGGAAGGAGCTGTGCAAAGGCAACAAACCCACAAGTGTACTCAATGGGCTCACCCCCTCATTCCTTCATCCCCTCATCCACTCCGCTGCATTTGTTGAGTTTGCTATGGGCCAGGCACTGTTCTGGGGTGGGGGGGCCCTGGGGGGATGGGAACAACCATGGGTTTATCACTGCAACCAAGCCACAGAGATGAGCAGAACTGTGCAGATGACAAAATCCCTCATGCCTTTATCACCCCACAGAGGTGACGTGTGGAGTCGCTGTGATGTAAGTGAGGTCAGGGTTTCCCCTAGACGCTCATTCTATCAACTGTCTTAGTTATGATGTCCCACTGGATTCCATTATGAAGACAGGAATCCAAAGGAAAAGGCTGACGGTAGAGTTTAGACATTAACAGTCTCCGGGAAAAGTGACTGGACTTTAAATCTACGTAAAACTGAGCTACTTTAGCAGTTCCTCATGGAGAGCCTAGCAGTGAGCTCCCCAGCCCCAGGAGTGTCCAAGCAGTAGCTAGCTGCCCACAGACAGGGACAACGAGGAGGTAAAGAATCAGACAAAGGGCTGGACTCCACAGGCAGAATTCTCAGATCTCATGAAAAACAGGTTCAGAGGGAGTGGCAGGAAGAAGGCTGTATCTACTAACTAGAGAGACTGCTGACATGGTTGCACTGGCACAACCCAGGCCCAGGAGAGGCTGTGTTCTGTCAATCCGAGAGGCTCTGGCATTACAGATTAGCAAAACCAGCATGGCTATAATACAAGCTCATGGAGCAAAGCATCAGCAAGATTTTCACAGAGGAAGCCATTAATAATGGGGTCCTTTTTTTAGAAACTACTCTGTCTTCTCCTTAACCATGATTTCTCAGAAACGTCTGGGTCTTCTGATTTGAGATGAAATGATTTTTCTCATTTGTAATTGGAGCTGTGAAATTATATTGGTCTGCAAAGCTTCAGGAAGCAGTGTTTCTAAATTGCCGCTTGATTGTCAAGCAAACAAATGTAAATACTTTAAAGGCCCTAAATCAATCTTCATAGGCAGAAGTAATGGGTAGCAGAGACCTGCATACCCAAGTGGGGTTCCTGCCTCGGGTCCCCCATGTCTGACAAAGGCAGGGAGCTTGGCCATCAGGTGACAAGTCAAATTGTACTACAGGCCAGCTGCAAAGCAACTTGGTTCTTTGTGTTTTAATCTATAAGTGTTTTCTTTCTCCAAGGGACTTACAGAATTTCTGGTTTCTCCCTTCTTCAGGGAAGTTTTGTCCTGTGGCAGGCGGTCTACCTACCCGAATCCCCAGCCCCTCTGAAGTGTGGTGGGCTGTG